AGAGGGTGCCAGGGAATCTTGTCAACTGCCCCTTGGGCCTGGCGGTGCTGCTGCTCAATGCCAGGTTGGTCCACAATAAGTCTTCCCTCATCCATGACTTGATTGTGGATGAGGGGGCCGACCTGGCTTGCATAACGGAGACCTGGGCGGGGGGGGGATGTCACCCTCTCTCAAATGTGCCCACCCGGGTATCCGGTTCAGCACCATTCAAGCATGGAGGGGAGGGGAGGGGAGGGAGGTCACTTTGGTTTACTGAGCTTCCATTTCCCTTGCGGGACTTCCGGTCCCTTCGAGGCCAGGGCTGGAGTGTCCCTACTTGGTGTTGGGCGACCGAGACAGATTGGGGATTCTGTTGGTGTACCGTGCACCCTTCTGCCCAACAGTCTCCCTGCCTGAGCTGACGGAGATCATCTCGGACCTGGTGTTGAGGACCCTCAGGATGTTGGTCCTGGGGGACTTCAATCTCTACGCCGAGACTGGTCTGACCGGGGCGGCTCAGGACTTCATGGCCTCCATGACGGCCATGGGGCTGTCTCAACATGTCACTGGCCCAACCCATGAACGTGGACACACTCTGGACCTGGTTTTCTCGACGGGGCAGGAAGAGGGTAGTCTGAGGGTGAGGAATTTATGTCTGACACCCCTGTCATGGTCAGATCACTTCCTGGTGAGGTTTGAGCTTGAGAGCGGCCTCTTCCTCTGTAAGGGTGTGGACCCGATCGTGTAGGTCCACCCCCGGAGCCGGATGGATTCCTGAAGGCCCTGGGGGAGTTTCCAGCTGACAAGACTGGTGCTCTTGTTGAGGCTCTGGTCGAACTGTGGAACGGGGAGATGACCAGGGCTGTTGACACGATTGCTCCTAAGCGTCCTCTCCCGCCGGGCAGAGCCCACTCTTCCCCCTGGTATACACCTGAATTGCGGGCGATGAAGCAGGCTGGGAGACGGCTAGAGCGAAGGTGGAGGAAATCACGGGATGAATCTGACCAAACACACTTAAGAGTCCATTATCGGGCCTATGCTGTTGTGGTGAGGGCGGCGAAAAAGAAATTCTTTTCTGTTTCCATTGCCTCCTCAAAATGCCGTCCGGCGGAGTTTTTTCGAGTGGTACAAGGCCTGGTTTGTCCAGGTCCTAAGAAAGATCTGGTTCCACCCTCGAAGGCCCGCTGTGACAACTTTGCCAAGCATTTCAGGAAGAAAATCGCTCAGATTCGTCACGAGCTAGACTCTACTAGTGACTCAGAGGTTTCTGGGGAGATACCAATGCTGCCGTCTGGTCCAAAATTAATGGATGAATTTCAGTTATTGCGGCCCGATGATGTGGACAAGGTGCTTGGACAAGTACGTCCCACCACTTGCCTATTGGATCCTTGCCCGTCTTGGTTAATAAATAACTCCAAGCACGGGATTGGGATCTGGATCTTGGAAGTGGTTAACGCTTCTCTGAGGGAGGGTTGGGTACCTGCCCCTTTAAAGGAGGCAGTAGTCCGACCGGTCCTGAAGAAAGTGTCACTGGATCCAGAGATGGCCACTAATTATAGACCAGTGGCCAACATCCTGTTTTTGGGCAAGGTGTTGGAGCAGGTGGTGGCGGGACAACTCCAAGCTCTCTTGGATGAAACTGATTATCTGGACCCATTTCAGTCCAGCTTCAGACCCGGGTACGGTACTGAATCTGCCTTGGTCGCCCTGTACGATGACCTGTGCAGGGAGAAGGACAGGGGGAGTGCATCCCTGTTGGTTCTTCTGGACCTCTCAGTGGCTTTTGATACCATCGACCATGGTATCCTTCTGGATAGGCTAGCGGGATTGGGGGTCGGAGGCACTGCTTTGCAGTGGTTCCACTCCTATCTCAATGACCAATTCCAGAAGGTGGTGCTGGGGGACTATGGCTCTGCACCATGGCAGCTATGCCATGGAGTACCGCAGGGGTCCATTTTGTCCCCTTTGCTGTTCAACATCTACATGAAACCGCTGGGAGAGGTCATCAGGAGGTGTGGGCTGCGGAATCATCAGTATGCTGATGATACCCAGCTCTACTTCTCATTTTCCACCAATCCAGGTGAGGCAGTGGCTGTGCTGAACTGGTGCCTGGCCGAGGTAATGGGCTGGATGAGGGCCAATAAACTGAAGCTCAATCTAGACAAGACGGAGGTCCTGTTGGTTGGTGGATCGGGCTTCGGTGAGGGTGAATTGAACCTAGTCCTGAATGGGGTTGCACTCCCTCTTAGGGACAAGGTCCACAGCTTGGGAGTGCTCCTCGACCCAGAGCTTTCACTGGAAGCTCAGGTGACAACAGTGGCGAGGAGCGCTTTCCTTCAGCTTCGGCTGATCCATCAGCTGCGCCCCTACCTGGAGTACGAATGCCTGGCGACAGTGACACATGCGTTGGCGACTTCCAGTCTTGACTTCTGTAATGCGCTCTACGTGGGGCTACCCTTGAAGACGGTCCGGATACTTCAATTGGTTCAAAATAGAGCTGCCAGGCTGCTGACGGGGACTGGGCGTTATGTTCACATGACTCCAGTCCTCCGTCAGCTTCACTGGCTTCCCATTGAAGTCCGGGCCCAATTCAAGGTGTTGGTGATGACCTATAAATCCCTAAATGGCTTGGGTCCTGGTTACCTGAAGGAGCGCTTACGTCCATATATGCCCGCCCGCCCCCTGAGATCTGCAGGACAGGCTCTTCTCCGGGAGCCCTCCGTGAAGGAAATTAGGAGGGTAAGTACTCGGAGGAGGGCTTTCTCTGTGGTGGCGCCCAATCTATGGAATGTGCTCCCCAGAGAGGTCTGCCTGGCACTGTCGTTATTTGTTTTTCGGTGCCAGGTGAAGACCTTTTTATTCAAACGTCATTTTAACTGTTAATACTATTTATTTTTTATTCTTCGTCCAGGGTGACTTATTTTATATTGCTAACTTGTTTTATATTATTTATTGTATAATATTTTAATTGATAGATTTGTGGGCCCCCCGAGGCTTTGGCGAATGGGGCAGCATAGAAATTTGCTAAATAAATAAATAAATTGGTCAGGTCATAATACAGCAGGATAGGTAAGAGCAAGAGAGCTTGCCATTGGTTTTGCCATGGCACAAAGTGATCAGGACCATGGATAATTCCTATTAGTTTTGGTTAGCTGAGCTAGACAAAGTTTTTGTCCCAGCAAAGGATTGTACTAAGTTTGTACTAAGTTTCAGCAGTTCCAGGTCTGCTGAATGTTGACTATAATTCTGAAAGTGCCCATTGCTGTTTCTGTGATAACTTGTCATTGTAGGACTGATGGATAGGAGAAGTTTCAGGAGAGTCAGAGATGGAAACATAGAACATAGAAACAGAGCGAGTCAGAAGGGGTCTCCTGGGCCATCTAGTCTGACCCCCAGCTCTAGCCAGCTCCGCTCACGACATGCCCACCATGTGCATGTCCAGCCTATCCTTGGACACCCTCACTGATGGGGCTTCAACCATCTCCCGTGGAAGCCCATTCCATACCCTCGGACCCTAAATGTCAGAAAGTACTTCCTGACATCCGATGGGAAGGCAACGTTGTCAGGCCTGGAAAGTACAGAACAAGATGCTAAGAGATCCTCGTGATGTGTCATGGGTCACCTCACATCTGAAACACCTGATTCCTTCTCAGTGTGATGCTGGGCATCAGGAGCACAAGACATGTCAAATTCCAAACCACGGATTTGCATTATGTCTGAACCTGCACTCTTCCAGTAAGGAGTGGAAGAGCAGCTTGCAACAATTTTTTAAACAAGGAATCCAGAAGAAACAACACAAAACTACCCCAAAGACCTGTAATTTAAAAATGAGGATGCAACTGGTCTATGACGAGCAAGATATGCAGCCACTAAAACCTCAACCTCAACCTGCATGGGAAAGGTGTGTCTTGGTTGGCTGGTGGCAAATAGGGAGCGGAGGAGTCAAATGGATTTCCACAGCTTAGATGCAGCCATAGAGAAGGGCTGCTCTTGCTTTTTGACCAGTCCTTGCTTAACCACTGCTGAGATACAAAGACAAGGCTCCCCAACAGAAGTCAGGGGGGATGGAGCCTGCTATGGGATGAGCTGGTCCTTAAGAGATTCTGGGCCATTTAGGGCTTTAAAGAGAGTCACCAACAGTTTGAAATGATTGTGCCTGAAAAAATGGAAAACAGCCACAACTGTTGTAAGACACTCCTACAAAAAACCACTCAGTAATGTTCTAGGTAGCTCTTTACCAATGAAAGGCAGAGTTATGTAAAAGCACTGTAGTAACGTAATCTGGATGTAACTAATCCATGTGTCACTTTGGCTGGCCAACATTCCCAAATATGAGTATAGCTGGTGTAGTAGCCAAAGTCAGACAAAAGAATCCCTGGCATAGTGACCTTGTCCAAGGGATATGATACTTGACCACTGAAACGTCCCATCAATTCTAAAGCAGTCAACCTACTAAAGGGAGGAGGAGGGAGAAACTGAGAGTATCTTGATCATACGGGAATAATCACAGAAGTCAGGCACTGTCATGCTTCTTACTTGCATGCATCACAAAGCGGATGCTGGGGCTGCCATTTTATGAGCCATTCTGGAACTCAATTCACCCAGGCCACCCTCTGGTGGAGTGCACGCAATTGCATCATTGGGAAACCTTGATAGGACCTACTGAAACGTGAAATTCCAAAGCTCTCTGGCTCTAGCTGCCTTTGCATCACTCAAGAAGAAATGCTTGGAAGAACCTGAGAACTGAAATGCAGAGACAGATCTAGCCCAATAAAATGTAAATGCCAGATGACTTGGCAGGGAATAGCAGTCTCTGCAGAGTCAGGAAAATGCATCAACAGTCTACGCTTTACCCTTCTCCAACCTGGTGTCCTCCAGATGCATTCGACTGCAATTCCCACCACCCCTTGAAGACATGGTTCATACTCAAGGATGGTGGTAGTTGTAGTCCAAAAAGCACCAGGTTAGGGAATATTGTTATGCTCTGAGAGAGGCAAAGAGAAAGAGAGATGGCAACTCACGTTGGTTCTTCAGAGACTGCCCTGGTCTCCTCCATCTCATGTGCTTGCTTGAACCAAGGGAGCCTTGCTTCAATTGGATTTTTCTCTGGGAAAGGGAAATGGACACCACCGTTAATGCAGTTCCAGCAACAGACAGTCAGAGCATAATCTGCTCCAGTGTTATTGGGTGAACTTCAGTTATTGAAGCCTGAGGATGTGAACACGGTGCTTGGTCAAGTCTGGTCCACCACCTGTGTGCTCAACCCTTGTCCTTCATGGCTGATTTCAAGAACTAGGGAAGGGATTTCTACTTGGGTCCAAAAGGATGTAAGGTCAAAACGGCCTTGAGATAGGGAGTGGTGCCACCCTCTTTACAAGAGGCTGCCTTTGCACCACACTCCTGAAAAAGCCTAACCTAGAGCAAGAGGATGTTAATAGTTATGGGCCAGGGGCCAAAATCCCCCTCGTGGGCAAGGTGCTTGAGCAGGTGGTGGCTGAGCAGCTCTGGAATGAAATGGATTGCCTAGATCCATTTGTCAGGGTTCAAGCTTGGAAGAGAAAGTGCCTTGGTCCCCCTGTGGGATAATCTTTGCTGGGAGAAAACTGGGGAGTGCGACCCTGTTGATACTCCTGGACTTTTCAGTGGCTTCCAGTATCATCAACAGTTTTATCCTTCTGGACAGGCTGGCTGGGCTAGGAGTGGGAAGCACTGCATTGCAGTGGTTCTGCTCCCACCTGACCTGCCCGTTGCAGAAGGTAATGCCGGGAGATGATTGCTCTGTGCCATGGCAGTGATGCTGTGGGTACCGCAGGGCTCCGAAATAGCTCCTGTGCTGCTTTACAACTGCATGAAACCACTGGGCGAGGTTAACCCGAGGATGGGCTGAGGCGACACCATATGCAGATGGCACTCAGCTGCACCTCTCCTTTCCCTCAAGGCCAAGTGAGGCAGCGGCCTCCCTGGATCGGTGTCTGAGCACGGCAGTAGACTGGATGAGGGCCAACGAGCTGAGGCTCAGTCCAGACAAGAAGGGGCTGCCGTCAGTGGGTGGTCCATCTGTCCAGTTGGGGGATGTTCAGCCTGTTCTGGATGGGGCTGCACTCCCCTGAAGGACAAGGTTCGCACTTTGGAGGTGCTTCTGGAGTTGTCCCTTGAGGCACAAGTGGACTTGTGCATGGAACACCTTTTATCGGCTTAAACTGATATACCAGCTCCAACCCTTTCTGGACAGAGAGCGCCTAGCTACATTTATCCATGCCCTGGTAACCTCTTGCTTGGATTACTGCAATGCGCTGTACATGGGGCTGCCTTTAAAAATGGTCCAGAAACTTTAAGTGATCCAGAACAGGGCAACCAGGCTGTTAATGGGATCTGGCTTCTGAAAATACATTATGCCCATCCTTCTCAAGCTGTACTGACTGCCAATTGAAGTCTGGGCCCAATTCAAAGTGCTGGCACTAACATGCAAAGCCTTAACAGCTTGGGGCCGGGTTATCTGAAGGATCGCCTCCTCCCATATATACCTACCTGGACCCAGAGGTGATCTTCAGGGATCCTTTTCCGCAGCCCCCTCCAAGGAAGTGAAGTAGGAGCTACTAGGAGAAGGGCTTTTTGGCTGTGCCATCCCAGCTATGGAATGTGCTCCCCAAAGACACGTGTCTGGTGCCTCCTTTTTTCTTTCTTTTTCATGTTTTGTTTTGGTGCCCAGTGAAAATCTTTTATTTTACCAGCATTTTAAAAGCTTAACCTTTTAACTTTAGTTTTAATATGGCATTTTATTCTGTACTGCTGCAATGCCTTTATGCTGATTCAGTTGGAACTGCTGTGGTTTTTGTTGTTACATGTCAATTTTTGTCGTTTGTGTGTTTTTAACTTTTGTTAACTGCCCAGAGAGCCTCGGCTATTGCTTGGTATAAAAATGAAATATGTAAATAAATGCACCGGCATTGGTCATGATTAGTCACCCCTCCTGTCAGGAACTCTGCACCTTGAACTCAGAACCTCACTTTACCTGGAAAGACTGACAAAAGATCAGCCATACCACGTTTATCCACCAAGGACTCTGAGCTCCCTGCAGGACCTGCTTGAGAATGGAACCTTGTTCTATTAAACTGCCTGGGACTGTGGTGCTCATTCAGGCATCAGAGTCCGGTGCAGAAAGGAAGAAAGGGAGGATGAAACAGCAGAGTCTGCCCTTTGATTGGCCGGCAGTATGAAGCCTCTGAAGGGCCCAAGCTTGGCGCATATACTGAGATCTGGTGTAAACACTTCTTGAAAGTTGGTAAACTGCTCTGTAGACAATGATGATGATTGATACAGTTGCTGCTATTTCAAGTTTATATGATGCAACTGTAAATAGGCAGGCCAATAATGGGATTAAAAGGCAAAGGAATAATAAGGCAAACAAACAGTGCACATATATTCACATTCAAAACACCAACACATGTTTTGCACTCTTCCAAATGCCCTGGTGTACACTCCTGGGGATACACATACCCAAGGTTGGGACTCACAGGTCTATAGGAAATTTGAAGGGCATTCCTGAGCAGTACTCATACTGAGAATACAGTAAAGAAAGGCTTTGCGTGTGCAGAATCCTTGAATCTGATGTTCAAGATGGCCCAACAGAGCCATAGAAATGGGTTGGGGGAGGAACACAGAGAAAGGACTGGACACAGAAAAATATCCCAAAGTACCTAGGTGCTTTTCCACCCAGTCGGTGGTTGGATCCAAGATTTCCTTTCCACCAGTGCAAGGAGTCCTGCCACCAGCAGAGGAAGCCTCTTTGTTTAGGAAAGATGCCTTGCATCAGATCCATGACCTCCCACCCATTGCCTTTAATCACAATTCCAGGTACCTTTGAGCTTGTAACACGGGACTGGCACAAGGCACTCTTCTTTGATGTGCAGCTTGAACTGAGGATTGCAGCCACCTGTGTGCTGACCCCGGTGATCCATGCACAGCACCACTCGGTAACGCAACCCTCGGCCACATGTCACGGTGCACTAAAAGGAAGCAACATGGCAGGGCAAAAAGTTAGGGCGGCCAAACTTGCCAATGAATCTCCAGCAGATTAATCAGCCTTGTGCCTCTCACTGATGAACGGATGAAACAGAAGTAAAGGTACAGATACAGGCTATTCCCCTGAGGCTTTCCTGCCACTGCTTGGATATTTTTTACAACAGAAAAGTGGCTGGTGCTATGGACATACAGTAGACATACCTGGTGAAATCTCACTGTCCATTCACTGGAGAACACTGCCACCACCCTCATGCTGCAAATTCTACTCTTTGGCATGTTTGCCCAATATCTTGAACTCCAAGAAACATTGTAAGGTGCTCTGCAGGGTGCATGAATGTTTGTTCCACCTTGATAATGTTCTAGAAGGCAATCTGTGGCCCTCCAAATAAAGTGCATCAGAGTTGCACCTCCCAAAATCCTTCACCTTTCGCTGCATGGGCAAGAGGGTGGAACCACATGCACAACTCCCCAAACTAATCCCGATATATCCTTATAATATTTGTGTATTCTGAGGACAGAGGCATTTTCCATGACATGAGTTGCTAACTTACCTGTGACCACTCCAAAGCAACCCATTTGGGGCAATGGAAGAGGTTGCACGCTTGCATGATCTTGGGTTTGGGGGCATACATGCATTTCCACTCTTCCACTTGCAAGATTTCTCCGTGCATGGTCTCCTCCACACACACAAAACTCCTCCTCTGAATTCCGCCTCCACATGAAACCGAACACGCAGTCCATGGGTTGTGTTCCCAGCTGGGTGAGAGGATTGAGGGTGGGGAAACACAACAAAATGAGCGAGTCCAAATTTTGTCAAGGTTCTAGATGCAAACTATGATGCCAGTAAGCAAACCTATTAGCAACACTGGAAGCTGCCTTATCCTACGTCAAATCCTTGGCCCATCAAGCCCAGTATCCTTGATACTGACAGGAAGCAACTCTCTCAGGTTTCAGTCTGGATCCTTCCTGCCCTACCTGGAAACGCCAAGGATGCCCCTGGGGCCCTCTGCCCTCTGAGCCACACCTGCTCCCCTTGTTGAACCCCAGAATGTCATGCTGCTTTATCAGATGACTCTGTGAGTTCCCACAAATCCATCCCTTTGAAATCCTTACGGAAAACAGGATAATCTGCAGACTGCATGACTAATAGGTTCCTTCAAAGCCCTCCAATTACATTCTCTTGTATAATGACTTCAAACCAGATTCAGCTGCCCAGAGTCTCAAAATTTTAGAGCCTACGGGAAAAGATTCTGGAGAAAATTTTCTTGCTGGAGAAGGACCACTGAAGACTTGGAATCCAGGGGTCCTTCCAGACCAGACTTTTAGTATACAATAGTCTGCCTCAAATAGAGAATTTTCCAGGGTGTCCAGCAATCTCCATTTTCTTCTGTGCTTTCCCCACTGCTTTTTCCATCACTTTTCTTCCCACAACCCCATCCAACCGTTCTCTTGGCCTGCCTTGCCTCTTTGTCTCATTCCCCACACGCAACACAGCTTCCAGTGCAGTGTCACTCCAACCTGGCAAGATGGCTTGTCAGGAGGGGGGCTTCAAAATCAACCCAGAGCGTGTTGAGCCCTTGGCCATCATGTATTTCACTGGTAATTGGGCAAATCATGCAGTGTGGGGCTGCAGAGAAACAAAGCCATCATATCCTCATGTCTCAATGATCCCCAGATCATGTGTTCTGACTGGCACGACTAGGAGGTGTCCTTCTGGAAGCACCCCAAGATGATGGAAACAGAACTCAAGGCAGGGGCCCAGGACAGGGCCCTGCAGAGGGGCCACACCCTGGCCAGGGTGCACTGACAAGAACCACCTGGACTTCCACCTTGCTTCCTCAGCTGCCTCTCGCTCCAGCCATAGCATATTTGCTCAGAACGGAAAGAGGCCCAAGGAATTTCAGTTTTTTAGCGCTTCAAAATTGCATTTATGCAAGTTTAGCTTTATCATATTCCATTTTGTGAAGACTTCTATGCCTTGAGATGTGATCATATTGAGCTAAAGCAAGACAACCGAGTCCAAATCTGCAGCTAATGAATTGCTTCCAACTGTATTTGCCACTTCCAGTGGGAGGGAGAATCACAGCTGTGAGTTCATGAGCAGATCCAAGCTTCTTCAGATCTGCTCATAGGCTGAATGGCAACTCCAAGGTTTGGCGTCGAGTCAGCCTGCCTTCCCTTCTTCCTACTCTCTAGAGGGAGATTCCCCTCTAAGGATATTTCTGTGGATTCAGGAGTGGAGATGTTTCTTAGGCAGAGGGTCTGGCAGCAAACGGTCTGGGATCTGGACCACTACAATCCTTAGACAAGTTGTAGAATTTCCTCCAAAAAGATACGGGAGTAGCTCTAGCCTTGATGGGCAGTGCAGACATTCATACTCTGCTTCAATTCCAATAGCTTTTTATGAATGTTTGAAGGGTTGGATCTCAAAGGTTTTCATCCCAATTTTTATTTTTATGGCACTGCATTTGGTTTTGGGCACTTATGTTAAGTGCTTCGGAAAAAGTGATGCAAACATACCTGGAATTCACACATTCAGGAATGAATACATGAAACAGACAAATTTGCATTTCCCATCCTCCTCCTGTCTAATTCTAGCAGTCTAATTCTGCATCATGGAACCAGTATTTCACTGTCCATCAGTATGCTGCAGTGATTAGATGGGCAGAAACCAGATTAAACTTGCCACTTCTTTAGTAAGTTCATCAATTGATCTTGGAATCCACCTAAAGTGCAACTGCAGAGCCTCAGGCCTACTCTGGGATTTATCAGACGGGCACACTCCCTTCCCCTAATCCCACCCCTTTCCCTGCCAAACGGTTTGGTGGTTTTCTGGCTTCTGACCATTTCCTTGCATATGTGCCCATGCACACACAAACACACACTTTTAGAGGCTCAAATGCCTCTCCTAAGGCCTAGTTATCAGGACTAATGACAAGTCAAAACATGCTGGTCTATTTGGTACTCTGGCCCTTCTCACTACTAGAATGTAGCTCCTGAGAATTTCTCCAAAACTGAACTGGGCCTTTGACTGAAAGAGATTCAACACCCCTGGCTAAGAGCTGTTGTGAGGATAAAATAGGATAATGTTCTCCTGCTCGAAGGAAGAGCAGGCTACAAGTACCAGTAATTAGATATCTAAACAGTAGCTTCCTGACCCTTGAATCTGCAATCCAAGAGATGCTGGTACTGCTATGGAAACATAACAAAATGCATGTTTTATTCCCAACATGGAGACTCATCTGGATGTTGACCAAAAGAAATGAAAATATACTGCATGCCACAGCCCATTTTTAATCAACATATTTTTCTGCTGGCAAATCAAAGGAAGAAGCAAATATTTAACATTCCAGTCTAAAGCATTTTTTAATATTACAATTGGTAACGGCTCAGGAAAACAGAGGCAAGCCAATTACACCCACTGCACGAGTTGAAATCAGCAAGAGTCTCCCACTTAAAGCCCTTTGTTGGGAGCAGCAGAGGTACTGTAAAGAAGTCAAACACAGAGCAGATGGAGCAGAAACTTATAAATCCAAGGGGGAAAGTTAAATAGCTGCTCCCCAAGTTTCAGGAGGCGAGTCAAGAGCGCTCCTTGCCTGAAATAATTCACATAACTCTCCACTCAGAGTAAATTAATCACATTATACACAAACCAAATGTGAAGCTTACGGTACATCGAGTGTTGACATTTAAACCAAACTAACACGATCAAAACCAGCCAACACAGAGCATACGGCTAATGATTTCTCCATCGCCCCTGATTCATGTGCTCATCTGCGGCACTCCTTTCATTAGCTTAACCTAAAGGAATGATCAGTGTGATATATAACACACTGAAGGATTACACAGTTTTAGAACCAATCGACTACACTGCAGGGACATGGGAAGCCACCTGATATGAGTCAGATGGGGGGTCCATCTAGCCCTGCAGTTTAACACCAGCTGGAAGAGCCCCCAGGCTTCAGGCAGGGGGTTTTCCAGCCCTGCCTGGAGATGCCGGGGACACGGCACGAGACACACCGCACCTTGCCATGACTGGGGTGCTTGTCACAGCCGCTGCCACCCCCCTTGCATGGATGTCATACGTACCGAGGAAGTGGCTGGAAGTGATCGTACGGCATGATCTCTTTAAACCCATCACTGTGAGTAAAGAAGCGGTTGCAAAGTTATTTCCCAGACACCAGATAATTATTTTCTCCATGTTATACAAATTCACTTACACACACACTCCCCCCCCCCGCCCTCACCAGAGTTTTGGGAAACAAAAGGTTATTTGAACCATGTCGTGTGCAGCTGAGGCTTGCTGTACTTTTTACTCTCATGGAAGCACAGGCAGGTCTGAGTCGGATAAGGGCCATGGTGCTCCATTCCCCCTGGAGATCCCCCCCCCCCAAATCTCATCCCCCCCCGTGTGGGGGTTAAAAAAGGGAAAGCTAGTCATTAGACTCAACTGAGGTTTTTCTCCCCTTGGTCAGCCCCGTGAAGCAGCATGTGGGGCAAGAGGCTTCAGGAAACAATTGGGAGGTGGGTTCTCGCTTCCCCCACAGAGCACTGAGGCCTCCGTCTGACTCAGGACAGGGCATGCTAATACAGAGGAAGAAAGACCACCCTCAGCTACACGCTATACAACCAGCATCGAGCACAGCCTGGCCTGAGACAGGCCAGCACAGTTCTCTGCAACAGGTTTCCAGTAAGAGAGTCGAGCTGCCCATACCCTGCAAAGGAATGTGGATGCTTCATATCCACCACCAGGGCCTCTGTGGACTGAGGCTGTGACCAGCTCCCTCACGAAACGGTCCACCTTCCCCATGGTCCCGGTGCCCCTGTGAGGCCACTGCTGTTCCTTCCTCAAAATGCACATTTTCCCCATGAACAACCTTAGCACCCAAATAGTTTTTCCTGCAACTAAGCCTAGGTATGCGTAACTGAAATACATCACGTCTTCCTGTATCATCCTTGCTTTTATTTCTTCTCACCTTCCCTTGTTTGTCTCATTTGGAGCAATTTCCCGATAGTAAGTTCTTGGGGCAGACACCTGGCCTCTCTTTCTTTAACAGCTGTAGGGACGGACATATCTATCAAGCACAATTTTCTACTGGATGCAGGATCTTTCCTACTGCTACTTTTTTTCCCATTTCTGCACCTGACTGTATTTTGTTAGTCTGCACACAAAAAATCCTCAGTTTATACATTTTTAAAATATATGGTTTTGCACAATTTCCTCCCATGTTTGTGCTCACTTTTTCAAAGGAACACGTCTTTCAAGCATTCCCCCCATCATGGAAGTCTTTTGTGCTCATTTCTCCAAATATTATTAGTTTCGAAAATATGTTTTTGGTGCACTCTTTCCCAATGGTATGCATGTTTTGTGTGTGAACTAAACTTTGGAAAAGCACCTATTTCCCACTGGTTCCTGGTTTGTGTTTGTGTTCAGACAGTGTGAACTGGGTAAATGAAATGCAACTGAAATGCAAGCCAGACGACTTTCCCACTTATCCCTGCACAAATCTTTCACATATAAATGTTGCAATATGAGTCCGTAGTACTGCCAGGCCTGTACATACGTATAGGTCTCAGAGCCTTCTTTGAGCACAGAAGGAAAGAGGGATATCCAAACGCTCTGGGCAGCCCTGGGATGAATCGAAGGGGCAGCCTTTGTACCCTGCCTGGTCACTAGGATAGGTTCTCGGCCTGAAACACTACAAGCTGCAGTTCCAGCGACTGATGTGGGCATGCTCACAGGCACCCCTGGCTTGGCCCTGACACCTACGAAAAGGCGTGCTAGCAAAGCAGAACATCTACTCTGTACCACCTGAGCACTGTTTATTGCGCTAATATTAGTGGGAACTGCCAGTGTTGCATGCTTCATACTCCCCCAAAAGCCCCCATCATACTTCCAAAGGATTCTGTAACCTTTATGATCTGTATTCAAATTTTGCCAAATTTTGCCAGAGCAGATCTAGCAAGTTTGGAGCATCTCAGCTGGGATTAAAGGAAACAGGACAGTTTAGTTCTAGGAAATGAAATCTACCCAAACCATTTCCTTTCTTCTTCTTCTTCTTCTTCTTCTTGGATATCTCTCCGGCCCTGCCAGCTGGCATTTTAATGTGAGGTTCTGGGCTAGATACTGTGGTGTTATTTTAAGATACTTGAGCAGAGCCAGGAAACAGCACCAGACGGTCCAACAGCTCGCATGCCTTAAATGTCATTCTGCAATTCAATATGGTCTGTGTATGCTACTGCAGCCTTTAGGAACTTGGCAGCAGGTCCATGTGGTCTTTGCACCACAAGCATCTTTCCTTTGCATCGCACTGGCTTCTTTTATTGAATCCCATACGCCTCACAAAAAATTAAAGCCTAGCAGATCAAACGGAAAGCAATGAATAGGAAACCTTGGCATAAGGTAGGCCAGTGGTTCTGAAACTGAACACTGGGGGCATGCTAGAGTGTCTTGAGAGGAGCTGGAGTGCATCGTGAAATAATAAATAAGCCACCTTCTGGGGTGCGTCCCCTGTTCCGTCCCTTGGTGATGGGAGTCCCACAGGGTGAGTGACCATGGGAGTATGGAAAAGGCACAGCTCACACTTCAGGTGACAGGCTTGGGGAAATCCCGGAAGGACCGGTCTACCTCTGACACTCTGTGACCCAGTCCCATTAATAGGGGACCCCACAGTGCAGCCTTCCCCTACATGGTTCTTCCCAGAGGTGTTACAGTACAATTCCCATAAAGACTGGGGGTTTACAGGAGCAGCAGACCAACTCCTCTGCGGGATGAAGGTGGGAGGGTGCCACGGGAGTGTGGTGGGGGCTCTGTAATTCACAACGCCCAGTTGCTGCCTTCTGTTGCTACCGCAATGACTGTCATCTTGCCAGTTATAAATAAAAGGGATTTAGCCAGGCCTCCGTGCCCTAAATACCAACTCCCATGCATACACTTGTAATACAAACCTCGAAGGACATGGATCCATATTGCATTCCTTCAGCTTGGGCTTGGGCTTCTTATTTTCAGGATAGTAATGGCAATACTGATCTGGCACAACTCGCTTCGAACGGATATCCAGGCATTCTGCGGAGTTCAGCTGGTAACCTATGTGGGGGCGTTGGGGAGAATATTAACAAACGGAAACAGCCATCCATCCCCCAGTTACGTGGTGCAGTCCCTGCTCTGTGTCTGTCCCTCCTCCCGTCTCCCATGCATGCCCCATTCATACCTTTCCCAGGTGAGATCCATATAAAATGTACCATTTGCGAAAAACACTCCCAAGTATTTCCATGTGCACGTGGCATTCGTGTACGCAGTCAACTAAGATTTCACCCACAGCACAAGGGCCCCATGGGTCCCAAAGCCTCTCCCGCCAATGACAACTTGACAAACCTTGGAACAGTCATACACATTCCACGGCCTCTTAGTAGCTGAGCCCTATGACTCTGGAGGACTCCATCTCATCAAGAGGTCTCTCAGCCAACAAGCAGGGCAGCATTAAAACTGTTGCCTACATGGATCCCACGTATGCTAACTACAGCACGTACATCCATCATTCCATGCCGCAAAGCTCAAACACCTTTTAACAGAGCTGAACGGATTTACAAAACCTGAGGCGCTCCTCTGATGGACCAGCTTTTGCAATCTGTGCATGGCCTTTAAAGAGCAGTGGATGGAAGAGCAGGTAGTCATATCAAAGGGCCCGAGAGAGGAGGTTGCACATAATTGTCCCTCGTGCTTTGATCAGACACCATGGCTTTGCGCGTTTGTTGGCTTGCTTATTGTTTACACCATCTTATTTGTTTGTTTGTTTGTTTGAAACATTTGTATGCTGCCCAGTTGTGCCACAGAACCTCTGGATGGCTCACAATTACAATTAATATTGGCTTGGATCTCCTTGTATCCCCCATCTAACAAAAATTAGAATAGGGCTTTCTAAGCTTTCCCTTCTGCAACACCCCTGCCCCCAGCAGCAACTGAAAATCTGCTCTTGTTGGCTGGGGGAACCACTGAGAATAGAGCAGGATATGGGGGATAATGCCATCAAGCAGGAGAGCAAAAGGAATTACCCCTCCCCCTGTGAACGGAGGAGCAGCTTCGGATCTCAGCCATGTCATTCTTTGGGCATTCTGGGTGGCTCAAGGGTTGCCCTGGGAATTTGGAGGTCTGGGTTCTACTCCTGCATGGGCTCAGTGGGTGATTTTGAGCCAGCCCCTGCTTGTCCACCTAACCAACTTCACAGATAAAATGGAGAAGAGGAGGGGGACCATGCGAACTGCTTTGGGTTCCTTGTAAGAGGACAAAAGGCAGGATGCAAACATAACAATAACGAGCAATTCTCTTTTATGATCAGCTGCCTTAGAGGCTTGTTGACAAACCAAAAGCTGGAAAGGATGGAGAAGAGTCAGATTTGGACAGCAAGTGAAACATTTTTTCCTAGAAGATCCAAGGTCATTAAAAGGGTACTTGGGTACCATGCTATTTCAGTGCAACAATCAGTTGCTCATTTGCAACACAATGCATGGGTGGCACCAAACAGCAAGGGGAGCCGATCCCTTCCCTGTACGCACACACGGTTACTGTTCAGCCTAACCCCCAGAGTTCTCAAGTTCTACTGACAGTACTCTCAGCTATCCGATTATAGAAAACACCGGGATACTGGGTCTGTCTGTTCCTGCACTTGGCAATTTTGTATGTATTCATCCAAAAGTGTGCTCCATCCCATTTCCTCATCTGTCTTCACAATTTTCCTTTTCCTTTTAAAAAAAGACTGCACAAAGTTGCATGTTTTAAACTATGCTTTTCTGCAAAATGCAAATTTTGTATGCGTTAATCCTAAGAGACATATTGGTATAAGCCTTTCATGTTAAAATACAGGGTTTTTTAAATACATTTTAACCTCAGCACTTTTTGTTTAATGTTTTGGAGGCAGGAACTGGATTGCCAAATTTTGGATAAATTCAAAAAGTGAGGATAACAGAGTAAATCGGAGTTGCCTTATTTCAACATGCAGACTGAATAAAATCTTTGCACATTCATAGTATCATCTGAGACATTCCAGTCTACTGTTATGGCTCATTCCTTGTAATTCCCCACACCCCCTTTGGCCTCCAGGCGAGTGATAATGCAGGAGTTGAATCCTTTCAGAATATGTAGACCTGCCTGCAAACACAGTCCTGACAGCAGGGGAAATGCAAAGAAAGTGGAGCTGTCAAATTTTGGGAATGCCCATGATCTTTGTGTCTGTATCCCCGAATCGTGTTCTGTGGCACCATTAGGCAAGGTATGCATTCTGCGGCTCCAAGAGCAGCACCAGAAACAATTCAATCAGGAAGCTAGGAGGAAGTGATCCAAAAACGCTGCTGAGTTTAAACATTACAAAAGCCACAAATATTTTTAGCAAGATTCCTCATAGCAGAGCAAAGGGAGATGGGAAAGGGAAGAAAGAAACCCTGAAAAAAGCCACTGGTGTAAATTGCACCTATGAGTCTGTCTCTTGGCTCGAGGGTAGGAGGAAAGGGAGAAGCTGATTCACGGGAACTGACTCCTTCACTTGGAAGGCAAGGTGGGAATGTTTTGTATGGGTTCTTAAGAAAGCAAGCAGACAAAATGGAGTCAAGAAATCAAGCCTTATCTACAGAAGAGATCTAAAACTCAACATCAAAGTGATCAATTATTGGTCTCCTAGCTAAGCCAAACTATCATCACATAGGGGAATAAATACTAGAAAAGAAGAGCTGAGCACCGAGCCATTGATGTGACTACACAAGCCAGCTCTGCTGAGCCAGCAAAAAACTTGGTGCGAAAAGAAAAATAAAAGCAAGTTGAAACATAAAATCTTAAATATTCAACACTTCGACCGCTTATTTAAATACAGCTGCATTTTATGGGACACGCAGGTTTTCTGAATTCCCTTGTGGTCCACCGCAAAGAACATGAACGGGCACGTCGAAGAACACCAAGTGGGGAATGACGGTGCAGTTCATCTTGCCATATTTCCTCCCCCCATTTTGTTTTTAAAACAATCATCTCCAAATATATCCAAGTCATTTATAAGCTGTTGAAAGAAGGCAAATGGAAGCTGACAATGATCCAACAACCTCACATTGAAAATATTTAAGCCAGGCGGAAATGGAACAAGAGTCCAGAAGCAAACACTGAACCAAGATCCTCCGGGTTTTGGTCTCCTCTCTCATAGCGAGATGATGCTTCACCATGGGCTAAACTGGCAGAGGCAGTGCTCTGCTGCACCAGCAGGTGGGAGGGAGAAGGGCTTATAAACAAGGGGTTTCTTGTTGTGTGGTCTGAACCTAGCAACATGGTTTGCTACCTATTCTGATTGGGTTCGGGGAACACAACAAGCCAGCCCTAGATTATTAGCAAATGGTCAGGTGTACTGTGTGAACTCAGTGAATGCCTTTGACCATAATGAAATCCTACCAGTAAAAACACCCAGACCCCAGGGAAGACACGGCCTGACCTCAGCCACCCACCTTGAAAGCGCCTGACTTGCTGATTCGCCTCAGCCTTCATGAAGCTGTTCTGCCAAAGCCACAGAACTGAGCAATTCTTCTCAACCCTCCACTAAGCACCATCCGCATGTCCTCCCAGATAGCTTGGACTGCAACTCTCAGCATTTCTGAACTCTGGCCATGCTGGACAGGGCTGCTGAGGTACAAAACACTTGGAGGGCACCAGGCTGGGGAAGGCTGGCTTAAAGAGGCCATAGAATAGTAGGGCTGAAAGGGGCCCAGGGGGCCCGACCCAATGGGACCCCCCCATCACAAAGGGACTGCATCCCCCTGAGGCTCACAGAGAGATTCCAGAAGCCTCTGTGGGATTCGCCTTCTCTGAATGGCCCGTTAGCACTGCATTTTGCCCTCCTGTTGGGCTGTCCCTAAGGAAGCGCCAAGCCCACCATGGGCAAGTACAAGAGAAACGGATCTGATGGGAACTCCAGGTACAGCAAGGGAGCCACAAAGATCAAAGGTGGCTTGCAAGCAGGTCACAACCTGCAATGCGGCAAAGTTCCATCCAAAGTGACCTCAGGCCACCCAAAGCTGTCCCCTCCTCAGCAACCCCAGAGGTAATAAGGGATGGCAACAGTAACTGCCCGTTCAGGACAGTTTCAAAGTGCTGAAAAGCTATATGATGAAACGCACTATAAGCAGTTAAATGCAATGCAGAGTCTTGTGGCATCATAAATACTTGTGAATTCATTCTGGCAAACCGATAAGCATCCGCAAAGGATAAGAGCAGAATAAACCTGATCATCTCTGTGCTGTTGTTGCTGCAATACTCTAAGACGCTTACCTCTCCATAAAGATAAATTCTTATTATTCCTTCCCAAATTTCAGCTGCATTTAGTTTGTAGAGGATGCTTGCAATTTGAATTTTGATAACAGCTACCCCAAAGTGTAGCACTAGTGTATCCATAAGAACTTAATGTGCTACAAATGTTGGCTCTCTACACATTTTTTAAAACTGCAAAGAGGGAAGGACCCACTGTTACAACACACTACACATTTATAGCATTAAAAAAGAAAAGAAAAACCCCCCTCACAGTTAGAACGCTGTAAATCCGCCACTTAAACTCCACAGCTGCACAGATCTCCCGAGCCACATGCATTACTCACCTCCTCCACACGTCACAGTACAAGGGAAGAACTCCGTCTGTCTCCACTGATGACTGATGGGTTGATAGAAAAAGAACTGCACCACGCTGTCTTTGGGGACAGTATACCTGGCCTGAAGAGAGTTCCATTAGTGCACACTTGCACACAGTGCACCAGCACTCTACGGCCTGCCACAGCACAAGTCACGCACAACACGCTGCGCAGAAAGCCGCGCGACAAAAGGGACGGGGGAATAAAATTACGTGAGCGGAAAAGCTGGAGTACCGCAGAGGAACACACATTTCTGGTGCCTGAGCATTTGTTATCTTCCTGCCAACAACACCGACCTAATTCACAGCTTCCCACTGGCATTCTTACTCGTTGGGTGGTGGAAGAAACGACACAGGCCCCTTCCCTTTCGCAATGCAAGGGATCTGGAGGATGAAGCGAGCGCCCCCTGCATGGGCACCCAAGCCATGTGGGGAAGAGGAGGCCATATGGATTGGGCAGCCCTGAGGTTATGGTTACGCACTGGGCACCCATTCCAGAGACGCGATCTTTTACCTGCAGCGAAAGGGGCACAGCAGGTCCTCCAACACACAAAGAATAGCACTGCCACGGCTAGCAGCTTCCTAGGGGGCCTTAGGTCTGTCGTTCCCTCCATCTATTAGGTCACCCCTTAAAGCAGGGCAGGAGAAAAGTGAGTCCACGCATTGACTGAATGTTTGCTCTCGTATGGCCATGGCCCTCTGCTTGGGCCATCCGAGGTTGTCCTGCGAGGCTTCAGGTGCCCCCAGTGACAAGGAGCAGTGGCTGCCCTTCGTCCGCACCCAGGACAGTCCATCAAGCACCTTCTCCTGGCTTGCAAGGGCTGGAAAGAGTCTTGATTCTCCACCTGAGGAGACTCTGTGGAAGTAAGTTGCTCTTGTGCTTAGCCATCAAGGTGCTCTAGCTTATGTTTATTAGACTTGCAGTTCCAATAAAATGTTCTTAATCACATTTTAATATTCTATCTTTGCCACACTGTGGGTTCATATGTGAGTGTGTGTGTGTGGTGGGGGGGGCGTCAACAGAATCCTATAGATGCTTGAACCACACAATGTCCCTCAACTCCCAGCATTCCCCAGTCTGAGCATCTTTCTTTCTTGCCTAAACAAGCATACGATTGCACCCTACAGATCGCCTCTTTCAACAAATGGGTTTGAAGCCATGATCCTAATGCACACTCAGTTGGGAGTGAGTCCCACTGAAATCACTAGATCTTAAATCCTGAATGAATTAGTTTAAAGTGGAGCTGGGCCTGTGCAAAACCTCTCCCCATCATGCCAAACCAAACTCCCTCAGCAATTTAAACTAGCTATCAGGTTACCCCACTTGCATATTTGGACTACTATGGGTAGTAAATTGTGCTGAACAATGGCTTCTCCTCTTGCACTCCAGGACTTAAGTGACTGCTAGGGAAGCATTTGCGATGTGGCTTAGCATCTTGGGGATAACAGGAGGTGTATAATCTGTAAGAATATTAGGAGTTTAAAATCCTGGCAAGCTGCAGACATTCCTCTTAACTAGTAAATCTGTTTTCCTGGTATTAGGGCAGGATTAAAGAGCACCATTCCACCTGGGCACAGCATCTACACACAAACCATATGAAAGATTGTATCATCACAATCTTTTAGACATTTTGCAAAGAGACTCTCAAACCAGCTGGCACTCTTTCTTTCTTCCTTCCAAACTACAACAGGCTAAATTACTACTATGCTGTTGTACATATCTGAAATAAGAAAAAAAGGACTCTAGTTTATCTGGCTTCTTTTATGGAGTTTGTCCATGTCTTATTTGGTCTTCTTCCTCTCCTTCTGCCTTTGATGTTCCCTAGCATTATTGTCTTCTCCAGTGAGTCTTGCTTTCTCATGATATGCCTGGAGTATGACATCTTCAGTTTTGTCCTTTGTGCTTCTGAGGAAAGCTCCGGCTGGATGGATCCCGTTCATCTTTCCAGCAGTCCAGGGTATTCTCCACCAATACCATGTTTCGAAAACATCATTTTCTTCCTGTCAGCTTCCTTCCCTATCCAGCTTTCACCTCTCCTGTTTTGTTGGAGCTAAATAATTAGAAGCTGATAAACATCTAAGGAGCACCCAATTTTCATGTTTAGAGTTCAACCTGAGGCATACTTAGACCAAAAATATTTTTTTAAAAATGGCTGGCTGGGGAGTGCTGGGGCTCAGAGTGCTTTTTTCTGTCTCAACATGCAACAGTCTGCACCCCAAGTGTCAGTTTGTGTTCTTCAGGTGCGTCTGTTCTGAGTTTACGGGTGTCTTGTCTTCTCCCCTTGAGTCTCCCGCATGGTGCCTGAACTCTCCCGCCACTCTCATACTTCCTGTGCCACTGCTCTGTTGCTTGTCTGAGCTCTCCCTTCCTGGTCCGGTATGCAAAATGTGTATAAGATATAAGAGACATGAGTCAGCCCATCCCATTGCTTTGCTTTTTAAATGGTGCCTAACTGATTTCTTGAAGCGAGACCTGTGGGTCTGCAGCTGCCTCATTCTCAAGCCAAGCACTGCCTCCCTTTGCCTTTGCCGTCTGCACTGCTGCGTTGCTGTCGCTTCTGTCACCAGTGTGGCTGAAAAGCGAGGGCGGCTCTGACTGCAGAAGCACACGAGGCACAACCAGCACTGAGGGTTGCCGTGGACTTCCATACTCTGGACAATGCTACAGAGGGGGCCTTTTCCTTCCTCTCACCATCTGCACGTCACTATACGTTGCTGATACAGTGAAAGCCAGCAGGGCATACTGGTTCGAGCACTGCACTGGGACCCGGGGCTTCCCCCTTCCAGTCCCTGCTTGGCCATGCATCTGACCAGGTGACTTTGGGCCAGTCACTGACGCTCAGCCCAGAGTGCTTACAGGTTGTTGTGAGGATAAAGTGGAAAGGAGAAGGGGTCTGTAAGATGACTGAGGTTCCATGTTAAAACAGGTGGAATATATAGTAAACAAGCAAATACCTCTAAAAGATGTCAAGGGGTAATATCCCTGTAAGCCACCTGAATGGAACAGGTTCCTTTCCTGAAAGACTGCCTCCCTGGTAGGGCAGAACCTTTTCCCTCATTGACGGCTTGGGACAAAGGGCACCACATATGTGGAGGCAGGCGAAGAACCGCTTCTGCTCAGGCCACTTACCGGGATCTCATTCCTTAACATCCTTTAGGGATTTAAAAGATAACAACCAGATACTGAAGATGGAACTCAAATACTTTGGCCACCTAATGAGAAGGAAGGACTCCCTGGAGAAGAGCCTGATGCTGGGAACAATTGACGGCAAAAGGAGAAGGGGACGGCAGCGGATGAGGTGGCTGGATGGGGTCACTGAAGCAGTCGGTGTGAGCTTGAGTGGACTCTGGGGGATGGTGGAGGACAGGAGGACCTGGAAAATGTTGTCCATGGGGTCGTGATGGGTCGGACATGACATCACAACTAGCAACAAACGTGAATTGCAGCTGGAAAAAAACTAGTAGCCACTGAAGCTGGAATGAATGTATGTATTTGGAGTGATGGGAGGGGAATATTTTCCCGGAATCTGTTGTGGGGCAAGTTAAAGGGCGTCCCAAAGAGGTCTCCCATCCCTGTACTGGTGTTGTGGCAGCATCCTTGAATACGCTGCGGGTGCACTAACGAAACAGAAACCGCAAGCAGGCAAGTCCCTTCTCCCAGAAGTATCCAATCTAAGTTTAGGCCATAGAAGCAAGAAAAGATGGCTGTTATTGCTGGCTGATGGATGGCTAATAAATACATAAATGAAGGCAAACCACCCAGAATCCTCCTGGCCCTCCAGGACACAGGTGATACCAGAGCACCAGATAAGCCAGGATCCACTCCAAGACTGGCTGCATTTATGCCATCTGCACAGCTTGGCTCACTGACAGAAGCCACCAGTTTCCACCCTTGTGGAGCCAGACTGAGGTTCGTCAGCCTGGGTTGCAGCCAGACTTTGTCCCACTTGCTCAGTGGGCCTAAGCACCCGAGACCTTGTAAATCCTAATTCGGTTGGGTGTTTCTATCCTTTCTTGTTCTTCAGCCAGCCAATTGTCAAGCTTTCTAGACTGGGGAAAGAAGGCCATAAAGCTAAATGTACACATCTTACCTTGATAATGAAGTCTGCACCAAGAGGACCTGGGATTTTTATAGTTTCTCTTTCAAAGCCCTTCTGAAATTCAACAGTCGTGTTTTCAATGACGAATGTTCCAGAGGCACCAAAACTGTGTTCTCCAGTGTCTCCCTGCAGCGTCTTTGATTCAATCACTGAAATTGGGGAGTGAGGAAATACACACACCGCTCATGATGAATGTTTGTAGAACAGAAGACTCCTATTATTGGCTCACAAAAACTCAGGTTGCAAGAATGGATACACACAGAGACATAAGAAGGCAGACAGTCGTGCATGCAGTATTTTTCAGCAGTAACAACAGCTGCCAGATGACAGGGGATTAACCAGAATTGCCATTTAATCTAATCCTCTGGAAACAGAATGAATTGCCACACTGTGTATCTCTCATAGAAGCCAAACTGTATTTTCATGTGCTAGAAATAAAAGCAGATTGAGTGTCAGTTTGTGGCCAGCAGATAAGGGGGAAATTAATTATCTTGCAGGGGCTTACAATAAAAAAGGCATTAAGAAAGGTAAAGTATTGCACCCATGGAGCAAAGAGTTCAGTTTAGCTTGTAGATCTCTTCCTACTCCCCCTGCCAAACATAATTGAAACAGATCCTGTTCTCACTAGTTAGAAGGGGCAAAGAGCACGTGTGTATGTGTGCGGGTACTTAGACTGGTGGGATGCATCAGATCCGTGAATTGCTGGCAAATAATGGATAACACACCAACCCATCCACAGCTTGGCGGCCTAGGAGTTGCAGCCCAAGACTGGAGGTCTCAAAGCACAAAGTTGATGGAATTTGCCTCAGAATCTAGTGCAAGTCAAGAATCCTTTGTGAAAGGAATCTAGTGTAGGCTAAGAATCCTTTGTGGAACTAGGCTGGTGTCTCCATTTGGTGAAGACACTCAAGATGCCCAAAGATCAGTGAAATATAAAGGCCGCAGCCTGGGTTTAGGGTTGCTCTGGAGGCCAAAGCCCCTCTGGCAGCTGACCTAGTTCTTCCCCAACTCTCCATCCTGGGGATGCCTGGGATTGAGAAGGAAGTCTGCCCCCTACACAATACCCTGATGGCTCCAACAGCAGCTATACTCACCTGTCACACCTCCTACACACACAGAACAGTGGGAGCATGGCTCTCCATCTCAAACACTGAGATATCACCTGCCAGAAGACCTAGATGTCTTGTGGAAGGTGGGGTGCCTCTTATGCATCACCTTGTCTGAGCACCAGGAGGGAAAGATCGCTCTGAGCCACTGGTCCATGGCCATGAGGTGCAGCAGAGAAGGGACTCCTCCCCTCTGGAGGAGGCAGAAGGCCCCGCAACACCTCTGGGATGCCAGTGAAGGTGAGGCCCCCACCCACGCAAGGCTGCAACAAGCTCCCAATCTTGTTTTGAAGCAGTTTAGGAAGCCCCACCCAGTTATAGAAAAGTGAATGCTTTAAACTATGCATATTAATTAACAAGAGTTAATATATCACACACACATTGTACGGATGATTCATATTAGCCCTTGAAAGATGGCACCCAGTTCTAGGTTTGCTCCCCAAAATTCAAAGCATTTTCCTGGCAGGAATCTGTGCTAAGTTTTCCACCTACTCTGGAGACTTCAAAAAATTATTACTTTACTTTTGGACTGGTCAAAGGCTGGTCAATAAGGACTCTGCTGGTATTCATGAACTCAGATTCCGGTCCGGTGGGCAACCCATCAAGCAAGCTCAAGAAAAATTTTCTGAATAGCTAGCAATTTGCCTTTAGTGCATTATTCAGACAGAATAGACCTGTTTTGATCTTTTGACAGAGCTGAAAAGATTTGTAGAGTAATAAGTAACAGGCAGTTCTTATACGACAGAAAGTGGTGGGAGCCTTAGGTGTAGCTGTTGACGAGCCAGGAACGCAGAAACCTTGGCCACCAAGCTGTCACTTTGCCCACAAAGAAAGACACAGTGCAACCTAAACAGCGCAGAATCCGGGCAAGGCTGTTGCTGCTGTTTTGTCAAGGCAGGTCCCTATGCGACTGATGTGGGAAAGGCACACCTTCCATTCCAAAGGCTGCCCAGATTTCTGCAAAGTACTGATTACTCAAATTAGAGAGAAATTTGCCCCCACCGAAAAAGTAGTCAACAGATCTCAGTCTACCATGCATGCCTGACCCAAAGCACAATGTGCAAAACACAATGACCTCCAACCCTGGAATCAGTTCTCTCATTATTCTTGCATTCAGATTTAAAAAAAACCCAGCACAGTCATATTACACATGGTCCCGTCTTTTACGCCAATAACAGGAAAAGTTCCTGCTTATGCAACAGATCATGCAGGACATTCTTCCAGGTGACTCCACAGTTTTCTGCTCTCATCTTTGACCTTTACCTAGGGAACTTTTCGGGGCTCTTCTTTTAGGCTGGCTGAAATGTAAGCACAGCACGGGATGTCCCCTCCACCCTCTTGGACATGCAGCAAGTCAACCCAAGATGCAACCCATAACCCATAATCAGCTCCACCACAGGTTCCTTAGCATGTCATGAAAAACACAGTACTGGACTGTTTAGGAGTTAAACCACCCAGGAATTAACCCCGTGGCTTATCACTGGGGAAACTGCTGCATGGTGCAACCCCTAAAAACCCAGTAGTCTGGGGTTCTTATGACAGGCTAAATGACCTGTGACAGACCTGACTGTAGGCAGCTAAAGAATATTCTCTCCCATTCAGGTCTGACATCCCTTGGGTTATTTAACCCATAGGCCACCATGCCATGCGATCTGAAAAACTGCCAGTCCATTAACACTATTTGGTCAAGTCCAGGACTCCGAGACCAAACATTTGCTCACAACAGCCCACACTGATGGTCTCAGCTCACTGCAATCTGGTAGCAAAACCATGGCAACATCTTTCCATTCCAGGTGTAACAGCAAACTGTGGTTTGATCAAAACTGCAAGTTATTAAGCCTTGCACAGGGAGAGGACAGAGCAAGGGAGGGGAAAGCAGAAAGGAGCGTGCAAAGCCCCAGCTTCATCCCTGACCCTTCACAACACGGTTTAGATTAGAACTAGAAATGTAGCGTATGAATGCACTCAGCGAAGCAAGACAATCAGTAAAGGAAGTGGCTGTGATGCACAAAAGGGCGACTTTGATATCCTCAAGCCGATGGAATTATTCATTACGAACTGTGAGCAGCCTTTGCTATCAGTAAAATTGTGCCAGTCTTGTGGTTTGCCTGCCACAGCGCCTTGCAAAAGTTCCACTAATGGGCTGCGGCAGCATCATGAACTATCTTGAGGAGTAACATTCTCCGGCTCTTAAAAGGAGTAGATAGTGCAAGAGCTGAATGAGAAACAGCAATATCTTTCTCTGGATAAAGGATGTTAGTCCAAATTTATCCTTGGTCTAATTCCAATGAAAGCACTGGGCTTGGAAGGAGGATATAATTGGTCCACTGTGTCTAGACAGAAGTGTACCCAAACTCATTTGTTAAAAGGAGAGGAAATAATTTGTCACATTTCCTTAGAAAACTGCATGCCCCGTTTAAACAGAATTTAGAATGCTTAGGAGAGTTTAAAAAGAATCTGATCTTCTATAAATAACACCAGCAGCCTCCTGTAAAGTAAGCTGGCATTGCAGCTTATACTGATACATTGCAGGCAGCAGTGAGTGGCTAGCAGGTTATGTAAGGCCACCAGTGGCTGATGGGAGATTCAAGCAAGACAACTCGCATTCCATTCTGGCCGGGGAATTCTGGGAGTTGTAGGGCTTTTTGACTGAGCAGGTGTAGGATTGCACCCGAAGGATGGTTTCTCATGCTATTCCTACTCAGGGTATACACAGCGAATGAGTGCAGCTTATGCCAGTCGTGAGTGGTAGGCGGTTGCAGCCAAAACAGAGGATCATCTTGACTAGCACCTTTGTTCTGTGCGTGGACACGTGCATTTTATTTATTTAGTTAGTTAGTTATTAAAACATTTCTATGTATCAGGCCTGGGTTTCTGACAAGGGGCACGGTATTATTATTATTATTATTATTATTATTATTATTATTATTATTATTATTAGAACATTTCTATGTGTTCACAAATGCTTGTGCCAGAATGAGTGCGTTAGCCTTTATGGTGCCACCGGACTCTTTCTTGCTTTTAAATACTGGCAAGCATGGAGAGAGACACTCACAACCCATTGCTGGAACTTCATCAGTGAATGTCAGTGATGGATTAGAGGCCAGCCACCTCAAGCAATTCTCTATTAACAGCAATGCAAAGGCGGCCCATCTTTTCAGCAGGGGAGCTTAAGCCCAGCTACTCATTTTTTCCAAGAAATTGCATCACAGGGAGATAAAGATTTGCACCAAGGCTACCTGTACGCCCAGCTCCCGTATATTCTCACCTGCTTTAAGCCACTGCCTGTCACTAGCTGCTTCCCTATGGAGTGAACACAAAGTGCCTTGCATGTGTAATATTTTTATAGCTACTTCTTCAAAGGGCAAAGTAATATTTTGCAAACTAACTGGCAGCCATCTGGAAATATCAGCAAGCAGTGTTCTGGGTATATTCAGCGAGTGATGGCTTGAAAAGTCTATTTCATTTTGAGTGCAGGTTTATCCTAAAGACCAGAAAAGCCGGCATATGGATGAAGTTACAACCTAAGTGGAACAAGGCTAAGCAGGCATCTTCATTGCAGCTGGTAAACATCTGACTTAAAATGACCCCAGCTAAGGACTGAGTCAGCTTTATGAGAGGCTGCACTCTTAACAGATTTATGGCACCCGCAATTTGGTCCCCACAGCAGGGCTGAAGGGGTGAGAATAAATAGAAGTGTCTTTGGCCCATGCAGGGAGAGGTTTTGGACCAGGGGCCCTTCTACTGTCCACACACGTGGCAGAGTGATATTAACCCAACTACCATTTGCCACCTTTTTCCATGCTGTATTTTATGGCAAGATCCCAATTTAAAAATGGGCAAGCAAAGATGCTTTTGTGCCAGACACAGACACAGACTCTTTTAAAAACTTCGAATCAATCTGGGGGGGACATAGGAGGACTTTTCACCATTTCCTGATCTGAGTGCCAAAAATGATCTGCCCACAGTGGCTGAGTGGCCCTGCTCAGAGCCACAACTTTTGCTGGTTGGAGTAGCAGCACTTTCAGCCCCACAATGACCTCAGTTATCGAAACATTTATCGAGGCCAAAGAATGGGTTTCTTTTTTAAAAAGAACGGAATCACAGGACATTCAAAAGCCCAACAGAAAAGAAGGCTTGAGTGTGGGAACGCACAGCTGAGGTCCATGAATATAAGGCAGCCACTCTGCCAAAGTGATGGTTCCCAGTTGCACGAAAAGAGGCAGTGTTGACATATTCAGTCCTGCTTTAAGCACGAAACTGGTGCTTGCCTGAGATGTCCTGTGTTTGGAAGTTGGTGGACACAGGGAAAACTACCTGAGCCAAAAAACCTACCTGCTGCAATTCATGAGCTTTTCCCTTCAGACAATTCCCAAATAGGGAACATGAGCCCTGGATAGGAAACTCACCTATTTTCATCCTCTCAAATGGTAAACCATGTGTTTTCTTCTTCATACCCATAAAGTATAAACCAGAATTCAAATGTATGGCTGAAAGTTTTAAATGCAAGCTTCCATCTCTCTCTCGTGCACCCCCCACCAACTCCAGTTCACTTCCAGCTAGACCCCGATGCAAGTTCATGAACTTGGTTATCTAGCATAAGCCACTTGTAAAAATATTAGCTTCTGGTTTTGTTGCTTCTACAGCAGGAGGATTATTTTCAGAATGCTCTGGCTTATTTTGGATTCTAAAGCCCTTATCGAAACAGCTTCTGGAAAGCCTATCATGTTTTCTAACACCCCTCCCCCTTCACTTTAACTACCACCCCACACAAAACCAGTTCAAATCTCCACTGAAGGGTTCGTGGCAGTAAGAGCCACCCCATCTGACAGCGCATGAAAACCAAGTGAATAAAAATGTACAGATATGGAAGCCACAGAAGCAGCCTGCAATTCCAACGCTTCCCTGGGTGTTTCTCCACAAAAGGAGCACCCCAAGCCCTGAGTAAATTGCAAGCACACAGCTCTTTCCATTGCCTACAATTCATCTCTCTCTGCTTGCCTGCTTTTCTCCCTACCCCGTTTTGCCTTCCTTCTTTCAAACAGCTTGGGACCAGGATACCTAAAGGAGCGCCTTTTTCCCTATATGCCCTCCTGCCCACTAAGATCAGCAGCAGAGGCCCTCCTCTGGGAACCCTCTTTGAAAGAGGTCAGGAGACAGAGAACCCGGAGGAGGGCCTTCTCTGCGGTGGCACCCAGACTATGGAATGCGCTCCCTAGAGAGGTCTGCCTGGTGCGTCATTATATGCTTTTCGGCGCCAGGTCAAGACCTTTTTATTTAACCAGTATTTTAAAGTTAGTTAATTTTAATGCTATATTTATTTCATTTATAACTATGTTATTTTATACTGACGTGGTATAGCCAATTTATTTATTTGTTTAGGATTGGTAGGTTTTAATGTTTGTAAACCACCCAGAGAGTCCTCTGGGTTACATGGGTGGTATATAAATGCAAACAAACAAACGTCTAGTGTCTGAGAACTGTGACAAAGCTGAGCAGAATCCATCCTTCTGGCATGCACAGATTTTCCCTTGTACCCAGCCTAGTCTTAGAAAGCCAACTGAGCCCAGAGGTACTACTTGCTCTCAGGAGGAAGGCTGTGCTACTGGTAACCTCCTTCTGTGTCAGGGCACAAACGAAGGGTGCTGCGTGTGATGCGGAAGGGGGTGCCTTTCACGCAGTCATGTGGGGCTTGCTCCCTGGAGTGCCATGCCAACAGTGGGTGCTCACCAGGAACAGACTCATGGCCATGACAAAGCAGATGCAGTCCCGAGAGCCACGGCCAGGGAATCCAATGGATTCCCACTCCCAGATAGATTCCTCACACAGCCCTACATGGGAGGTCCTTTGTGGGGGACACCAGGTGGCAACACTGGCCCGTTTACAGAGGGGCGCGGCTTTTAATGTCCTTCCTTGCAAGGAGCACAGTGTAACCTCCCATTTCCATTTTATACTCACAACAATTCTGTGAAACAGCTCGGTTGAGGGATAGTGACAAGCCCAAGATCAGCCAGCTAGGTGGCGATTTGAACCTGGTTCTCCACAATGATTTTACCCCACTGATTCTCTCATGCAGAGAATCCTAAAGCCGGAAGAGGCCATGAAGGCCATCGCATCCAGCCCTGTGAGCATTGCGGGAGTCCAGCTTGAAGCATCCCTGACCAATGGCAGCCGGGGACATGCGTTGTACCTGCGTTGTCCTGCTTGGTGTTACTAGTGCTTTTTTTGTCATAAAACGCACCGGAACAGAGTTCCGGCACCTTTTTTCGACAGATTTTTCAAGTTTTAAAAGTAACTTTTGAAACTTTGATGTTTGGTCCACATGGATTCGAATCGCCCTGTCGAGCATAGCAGGTCGGTGGCAAAATCATTAAAACGGTGCATGTGGGCTGCTTGTGTGTCGAATCCGGCGCATGCGTACTTCGTCCATGCTGGTTGCGATGGCGCTGCTCGGCTGGCGATGGGTCGTGTGGTCGCGTGCTGAGTGCTTACTGCGGGTGGCGACTGTTATGTTTCGTTACACAACTGACGTGTGTGGGTGTGTGTACAGTGACTGACTACGTGAGAAAGGTAAATAATTTCATGAGTTCCGGCACCCTTTTTCTTACAAAAAAAGCACTGGGTGTTACTATGCAAGAGAAGTGGAGAAGATGCCGGGATATGGTTTTCAGCGGCAAAAAGCACATTTCTTGTAACATTCTAGCTCTTGCCTAAATTAAGTTTTGCTAATCAGGCACAGACAAAGGATTCTGATCTCCATGTACACCACATTCCCAAAGACTTGGAAGCATTAGACTAAACGTTTTCTTGCCCCAGTCCCTCTGTTAAAAGTGCATAAAGGTGTTCATACCAAGGTGTGCTGGTCCCTTCACAGAAATTCTTGCACTGTGACTCCCATGTGGAACAGCAATCATGGTTTCCTCTCCTAGGAAAATTAAAGGCACCATTTCAGAAATTACATCTTACAAGGGAATTACCGCATTTCATAACTACACTTTTTTTTTTTAAATGAACCTTCACTGAGTGCAGTTCAGAAAACATTTTTTACCTTTTTAAAACACACAAGCACATGTTACTAAGCACTTAAGCCCGGGTCTGCTTTCTGAACTATGCTACCATTAAGCTACATATGGACTTGTAAATCCATCCAGCTATTGGACAATTATTTTCTATTAACTAATGTAGTACATTAGCCATTGAATTTATGTCTTGTTGTCCTGGTTTTGTTTCCTAATTGAACAGGTTTAAAGGTTGCGCCACACAGAACCTCCATTGCTCAAGCGCACCGCAGCGGCTCTGTTGGAGTTGCCCACACTTCATTTCCTGCAGCAGGTCATGACTTTAATAAGCAGCAGGATTTGCAAGAAACAAATCAACCCCCTAACACTAAATCCTAAATTATTGCAATCTAGAGAAGCGCAAGTTAGGAAAGGGGAAAGTCCTTCAAAATGCCCACACCTTGTTATGTATGCTCACTATTACCATTTTTAAAGAATGACTCAGGACTCAGGAGTATCATGGACACAGCAACCTCTCCCCCTTTCCAAACCCTATGCATTGTTTACAGAAACTCTCTCTCTCTCTCTTTCTCTCTCTCACACACACACACGGATGTCTATACCTTTTTCCCTTTGCAAGGAATCCAAGCCTACCTGTCTCCAATTTATCTTCACAACAGCCCCATGATGTAGTTTAGGTTGAGAGTCAGTGACTGGCCCAAGGCGACCCAACGCTCTGCAGAAAGTCAGTGGCTGGTGCCCTCCTGGCTGAGTGGGGAGGAGCACTGGACCTCCCGAGCCCCAGTTCCACATTCTAATTGTTACACCACACTGGCTCTCTCCTATTCCAACCTTCAAAAGTGGTTTGCAACAATAAAAACACCATGCTAATAAAACAGAAGCAGCCACATAGCTATAAAAACAAGGAAAATAAATGCAATCACTTGCAAAGGGAGCAGGTTGTTAAACTGGATTAAAAATCCTGGTGGAAAGTCTTGCCTGCCTGCTTCAAATCCGTCCAAATCATTCTCAAGCAGAGTTCCCACGAAGGTACTGCTGCCAAGAAGGCCCCACCCCCTGGTTTTGGAGCACAATGAACAGGTTCATGCAGAGGTGGCAGTGCTGCTGATGTCCATGCCTCGCGCCATTTATACGCACAAATATGACTACTTCTTGGCCATTAAAGAGCACTGTTCCAGTGTGCCATGTGCGTCACACACTTATCTCAGTAATCCTTACAATACATCTCTCAGCAGACAGCTATTATTCTCTCTACTATGAGCACCTCTTTTCTTCTGTCCCTGCCCAGTTTCCTTAACACACACACCCTTGCTAAAAGGGATCCAAACACCGTTCTGAACTGCCACATCTGCTCTTGCTCCATTAAATCAGCCTGATTTAATCCAATAAATCACTGGAAGTGAGAAATCAAGTGTCCATGAACAATATGTGAGCTTCAATGGGATCTGAGCAAGCTAAATTACTGGATCATGGTCCATGTTTCCAAATTCCAGAGGCATTAGAAGTGAAAGCAGCACTGGCTCCGTGCAGGCCCTCACAAACCCCACAGGAGCTGAGGTGGCCTTCGGGGTCTTCAGCATGTGCCCCAGGCAGCTACTGGGTGCTGACACCAAGCCAGAGAGCTTAGGAGCACTGGACGTGTGGGGAAGAGGCCCCTGTAAGAGAGCAGCTATGCTGGACCAGACCAAGCACCTACCTAGTCCAACATTCTGTGTGCACAGAGACCACCGAGATGCCAATGGAAAGCCCACAAGCAGGACTTGGGCAGGCTCGCACATCACAGCCAGTTCTTGAGTTCAGTGAGCTTACCCAAATAACCCATGAACTACTTTGACATCTGAACCCAGGAACTCTGGCAGGAGGGGCAGGTTAGGGGTCCAAGAAGGCAAAGTCAGTCCAAAAACAAACCATGGGGAATGGTTGAGTTATCTCTAGGTTGTTTAACCCCTGAACAACCCAGGCTTCCTTGGCTTTGATTTTATAACCACCACCACCCAGGGTTGATTGAGCTAGGAGATTCAGAGCCAAAGCGATGAACATATGGGTGCAGCGTGCTTGCTCACTCCTGCTCAGCCAAGACTACTTCTAGGTTAAACAGCCCAGAAACTGCAGTTGTGTGTGAACCGGGTCTGTGAGCGCAACATCACTCTGCTACTAGTGCTCTGCTCACTGGCATGCCCAGAGCATCTAGTCTTGGGATCCGGTGATCCTTTGATTCCAGAAAGCAGTGCTCTTTGACCTTTTTCTCATTGAGCGGCATGGCATGGAAAACTGGGGACGTGCAAAGAATCTCCTGAACTTTAAAATATAATTAACTACAATTATAAGTAGTGATGGAGGAAAAGGCAGTCTAACCCTTCTCCAGAAAGTTTTGCAATATTCCTCAGACCCTACTGCTTTTCTCCACAGAGGGAGAATGTTTCTCCTGTGGGTAGGAATGCAATTTCCAGGTGGAAAATATGGGCTAATTTTAAAAAGTGGGTTAAAGTAGGAAGGGCTAAACACTCTCACATGCTCTAATCACAGCTGCAATTATGTTCAAAGACCACGTTTAACAGAAACATAATTTCTACCCACACCGCCTCTAGTTTAGCCAAGAGCCAGGTTGCCCCTACCATTAGGCAGAGTGAGGAAACTGCCAAAGGAGCGAATCACTGCTGGAAACAGTAGGGGCTTTCTTCATTTATTTATTGCATTTCTATGTCATCCATTAACCAAAGCTCTCTGGGAGGTTCACAAAACAAAACTTAAAACCATAAATACACAAGCATAGTAGAACATTGGATAAAAACCATAGCATCTGTCTGTAGATCACGCTTTCTGCCAATGATTCTGCAGCATGTGTGTGTGTGGGGTGGCGGCAACTCCCCACCCTAAGTGCAGAGAATATCAGGTGACTATTCATTGAAAAGATGCTCTTTTCGGGATGATGTGAATCAGAAAAAAATCTGAGACATTTCAGCTTGTCCCTACATGCAACACCAAATTAAATTACGGAATTTGCTGCCACAAGATGTGGTGAGCCAGCCCGTGGCCTGGGTGGCTTCAAGGGATATTTGGCAAAATTAACGGAGGAGGAGTGGTCTACCAGTGGCTATGCGAAGCACCAGGCCAGCGGGGCGTGCGGGGCCAGCGGAAGCGCGCCGAGCACCGGGAACCGACAACAAAGCGGGCCGCTCATTCCTGCCCTAGGACCAAATGCCCAAGTGCCTCTAGATCGCCACTGCTGGACAAAGACGCAATGAGCCACGGGCCACTTCCACCATGGCTGCTCTCAAGTTGTTCGCGAAGCTCGGAGGCTGCTTCCAAGGAACGCTTTGGCCGTTCTTCATGCAAAGACATTAATAAGCACAACAGGGACCCAGCGTGAACCACAGTCTGCCACCAAGTCTGTAGATTTAAAAGGTCTCCAATTGTCAAGTGTACAATCCATACACTGACTGAAACAAAAACCCTTATATTTTTACACACCAGTGCACAGGGGGTTGTTAAGCCACACAATTCTATTAAACCAGTAAGACCTGGGCTGTTTAAAAAAAAGAAAGCAAGCACTACTAAATTCCTATGACATTTTAGAGGGAGCCTGCTACAACCAACTCCTGTATGCTATAATTTCCAGATATTTAGCCTATTTCTATTCAGAGCCCTGCTGGATCAGAACAAGAGTCCATTAGTCTAGGCTTGGATAAACCTGGGCATCTCCACCGCCCCCCCCCACCCGACTACATTCCTGCCAGTGGAACAGCACCAACATTTGGTAGCATGGTGGCAGTTAACCCACAGATTTCCACGGCAAGTTATGGCAGAGGTTTGGAAGAACCGCTTTAGCTTGCTTTCCAACTGAACCTTTTTCTGCAGCTCCACTCTCGCAATGCTACAGCGTAACGACATTAGAGGCTGGGGGAAGCACGCAGTCTCCTGTTGGGTGCCATCCAGCAGCCTACCAGCTGTGACAGGGAAGTCCCATTTGGCCATCATGACTAATAACTTCTGATAAGTGCAAACATCTATCCAGTTTCTCCACACTAGGCATAATTCTATAGACAACTATCAGGTGCCTTCTCCTGCCATCCATCATCTAAATTCAAAAGCCCCAAATGCTTTCTCCTATGGTGGGTTCTCCAAACTTCTGATAACTTGCACTGCCCGTTCTTGCAAATTTTCTAGCTCTGTTACTGAACACTTTACAATATCCTCATACCATCTTCAGCTCCAGACTTCTGCTTGTCTCCAGCTTTCATGACAAATGGGAGCAACAGTCAATGAATCCCTAACTTCAGGGTCAGCAGAAGGCAGATCTCCAGATGTTTTGAGATTCAACTCTCAGCTTTTTGCATATTGCTGGAAACCTACCTTCCGCCTGTCCCTGCCTTATTCATCAGCATGGAAGCACTTGAATGTGCCTCTCATTTCCTGCAGTAACACATGTGTCTAGAACACAGTGAGCCATGAACAGTAACAGTTCCACTCCTTTTTATACTAGTCAGACTGTATCTGGAGCACTGTATCTCGTTTTAGGCACCACACTCTCAGAAGACACTGGCAAACCGGAATTCCAGAAGAGCAAGGTTAAGGTGGTGAGGGGGTTTGGCACATTTTGTGGGGGTGTGAATTCATGCAATGCCAAATTAGTGCAACATTGAACTTGTGCAAATGTGCACAAATGAGTTTCTGTAAAATCTGATTCCATCACTTATTGGACAGCGGGAGAAAAGGTGCCTAACCATCTGTGAAACAAAGACAAAGCAGGTTTTACGGCATCTGTACGACTGCCTGAACTGGATCAGAACATAAAGACAAAACACGGCTCAAAGTCCAACAGGAACTGGTTTGATGTCCCAATCCTGCTCCTAACAGCATCCATACTATTAATATGCAGATCAGAGGAGAGCAGAACATACATTAC